AAAAAAAAAAAAAACTTGTTTCAGATAGGATAAACAGTGGAAATTGAAATGAAGAAATCACAAGTGAGAAGCATGGATTAAGAAGAATCAAAGCAGACTCCTTTACTGAATAGACTGACCTTATGAATATACTGGAAACGACACAATTTGGAAATGAAAATACACCTAGAATATAACCTGAAAATGACAACACATATGCATAATCACATCATTAATCCAAACTTACCCTCTGCGATGTCTGAGCATGAAGTGCCCACGGCTGTGTCCCCACTGTCAGCTACACCTGAACAGCGGCTGAAGCGGCTCCGAAAGGCCTCCGAGATAACTGGGGTCTGCCATTCAGTCCCCAGGGAACCGCCCTTCTGAATCACACTGGAACCTGAAACAAGTGGCATTTCCCACCTTTACTGTGAAATCAGCAGATATAACCCCTTGAGACCATTTTTTAAAAATCACTTAAGGCTTGGCACCTGTAGCTCAGCAGTTAGGGCACTAGCCACATACACCAGGGCTGGCGGGTTCAAATCCAGCCTGGGCCTACTAAACAACGATAACTACAACAATAAAAAAATAGCCAGGCGTTGTGGTGGGCACCTGTAGTCCCAGCTACTTGGGAGGCTAAAGCAAGGGAATCGCTTAATCCCAAGAGTTTGAGGTTGCTGTGAGCTGTGATGCCACGGCACCTACCGAGGGTGACACAGTGAGACTCTGTCTCTAAATAAATAAATAATCACATAAACCAACCAGAGGTAGTGGCTCACCCTTGTAATCCTAGCACTTTGGGATGCTGAAGTAGGAGGATCACTTGAGCTCAGGAGTTGAAGACTAGCCTGAGCAAGAGGCAGATCCTGTCTCTACTAAACATAGAATTAGCTGGGTGTTGTGGCAAATGCCCGTAGTCCCAGCTACTCAGGAGGCCAAAGCAGGAGGATTGCTTAAACCCAGGAGTTTGAGGTTGTTGTGAGCTAGGCCCATGGCACTCTAGCCTGGGCAACAGAGTAAGACTCTTACTCTGTATCTTCTCTCTCTCTCTTTTTTTTTTTTTTTGA